TTTCCGACGTCCTGCTGTTGTCTGTTTCACCTGTTCCCAGCCTCTGTCCCTGGCCTCCTATGTAGCCGCCTTTGTCTCTGTCACCTCTCAGTCCCTCCCACCCTCCTTCCGCCACCCTCTCCCCCTTCTCTCTCCCTCTCTCTCTATAACCTATTTTTGTTTCCTTTTCCAAAGGAGAACCCGCCTGCGGTTTTGCCTGTGGCTGCTCTGGGCTGGCCCAGGCCCCTCCCTGGCCATGAGGCTGGGCCTGCCCATCTAACCCTCTGGCCTGTCTGCTCCACAGCGCCCTTGGCAGGGAGGCCTGAGACCTGGAGGCTGGTGGAGGGGCTGAGGGCAGAGGACACAGGCAGGAGGGCTTGGCGCCGTGAGTGGGGGTAGCAGGATGCCTCCGTGTGGCCCTCTGGGGACGGCCCTTACCCTCGGAGCCCAGGCCTCCAGCTTCACGGAGGCGGGGCTGGAGCCAGGGATCGCCAGCGCGTTCCCCTTCAACCCTCCTCTATGGCCAGCCTGCCCACCCGGACGGAGCGCCTATTCTGCTCTGTGCAGTGGCAGGGGTGGAGGTGGGCGGGGCAGGGCGGCCCAGCCCGGTAATCACTGGCCTCGGCTATTCTGGGCCTCTCGCCTTCCACCCACTGGCTCCGGGGATCTGGGGTGGGACCTACTTTCCTGCAGGCTGTGGTCTGGCCAGGACACGAGAGGCCCCACACAACGCTTGGTGTTTCCAGAAGGCTGCGTGCTTCCGAGTCCTGGGGCTCTGGGGTGGAGGTGGCCTAGGTCTGCTCCTCTGCGCGCCCCCCGGTGAGCACCAGCCTTTTCTCCATCCCCAGCCGTGACCCTGAGGGAAGCTCCTCCCCTCTCAGAGGCTCCACTTTCCCATCGGCAAGGTGGTGCGGACGCCCGCCTCCCGGGGCTGTGCGTGGTGCTGGGCTAGTGTGGTGCCCGCAGCTCCTGGGGCCTCCCTGCCAGCCGGCAGCCAGCAAACGGAGGTTCAAGTCTTGGGACCACCGATGACCCCCAAGACCCAGGCAGGCCCTGAGGGCCTCACCCCTCCACGTGCCCTGGTCACAGGAAACCTTGGTCCTTGTTCTGGGGACACTGGAGTGGGGAGGGGCCCTGCGGCTGCCAGAGGCCTGGCAGGTGGCCTGGACAGCGGGCTTCAGGTACACACAGAGGGCTCTGGAGGCCGGGGCACGGCCTGTCCGCCTGTCATTTACTGGTTCATTCAACCACCTCCACCAGACACTGCTCCAGCTCAGCGGTTCTCAGCGTGCACTGCCGGGCCAGCAGCAACAGCACGCCTGCCCTGTCAGAAACACAGACTCACGGGCCCCGCTCCACACCTATGAGGGCCAGAACCTCTGCGTATGGGGCCAGGCCACCTGTGTTTCAACAGGCCCCGCGCACGCTCCAGCTGGAGAACCGCTGCTTGTGGTCAGTTGGCCAACAGATCAGTTCATCAGATTCTCCCGGTTTGCTTGTTTGCCAAAGACTTATCTTAAGGATAAACCTTGAATCCTGGCAGCATTTTAAGACTCATCTGGTTGAAAGCCAAGGATCATGGAAACGTTCGTTCTTTTTATGAATATATTATTTTCTCATATGATCCTGAATCTTTAAAGATATTCCTCTTATGAATATTCCATATTATTATGAATTCAACCATTTCTCAGTATCCATTGAATATATTTAAATTTGTAAACCAGACTTACACGTTGTTGTATATATTATTTTTTATGGTCAATATTATTTATTTTTATTGAGATAATACTCTCATTCTATAAAATTCACTTTTTTAAAGTGTACAGCGATTTTTAGCATATTCAAAAGCTGTGCGCTGTCACAGCTGTACAAGCGCAGAACGTTAGCCACTAGCCCTGCCCCCCATGTTCCCAGTGCCTGCCTGCCTGCCCCCCTCCCCCCATCCCACCCAGAGCCCCTGGAAACCACTCATCTACTTCCGGCCTCTATGGATTTGCCTGTCCTGGGCGTTTTATACAGACGGAGTCAAACAATGTGGGTAGCGCCTTCTGTGAGGCTTGTTTCACTCAGCGTCAGGTTACAAGGTGCATCCACACGGTAGCAGGTGTCAGCGCCTCACTCCTTTTTATGGCCATTAAGTGTGTTAGCTGTGGGGTTTTCCCAGATGGCCTTTATCAGTTTGATGAAGTTCCCTTCGATTCCTCGTTTGTTTAGTGTTTTCATCATGAAACGGTACTGAATTTTGTGCAGTGTTTTTTCTGCATCTCTTGATGACCATGTGGGGTTTTTTCTTTATTCTATTAACATGGTGTACTACCTTGATATATATATTTTTTTTTTTTTG